GGATTGTGGGGTTAAGATTTATTCATAACTTGTAATAATCCCCACTGACGGCCAGCAGCACCACAGTTATTTAAGAAACTCACCACCCTTATTTAGCTTGAAAGGGACTTCCCTTCTTCCCCTCTTGGCTCTTCTGTGGAATGTCGCAACACTCATGCTCAGCTTAGAGGAGCATTGCACAAAAGTGCTAAATCTGCCGAGCATACCCACTCAATTTGCCACTGTATGATGTTTTGCAACATCCTACAGCACAGCTGCTAAAGCCACTGGGCTCAAGGTATTCAAGCATACACTTAATATTAGCTGCCTCTGCACAATATTTTTACCAAAACAGAACCAAACATGATAGGACAAAACAAAAAGGTTCGACACTATCTTCTTACATGTACATGAAAAATGTTGTGCTGTCCTCACAGTCTATTCTAGTGTGAACAATTTTGTCACCGCTATGTTAAGACAAATTGAGGTTTACTAAACAGTAAATTGTGGCCTCAAAATGTACAATGTACACATTTCTTGTGGTATCAACCAATAATCACTAAGTTTTATCAAAAATGTCAGTGTAACTTTATGGCAAACTTAACAATTTGAAACTTGTTTCCTTCTGCAGTGGATATGAATCATTAAGCGTACAGTCAACAACTGATTATCCTGATTTTATACTTCGTCTACTTCCTCATCATAGTCCCCTTGTGAAAGAGAGTGATGCTGTTCAGTGGTAGCTAATATATTTCTCGAATATGTTACAATATACACATTTATTGCCATTTATTTCCAGCCACCATAAATTAAATAAGGTTACTGATCAAAATTTTCATAAAACAGGAATCCTAGACTTTTAGCTTTATTACTTTTCATTAGCTGTGTGATTCGTCTTCTGTCCCTTTAAGTTCAAAGAAAAAACGAATAGACCTTTTTACAGTTTCTGGCGCCATATCGGATTAGTAACTGCGCACACACAATAACGAGGCTGGGGTTGACTTGGCGGCTCTTTCAAACAGCTGATCTGCTGACATTTCACGATCTAATGCACTTTTCAATGCGATTTCTCCCTTCAAAATAGTTCTTTGACATAACAATATGAAAATCTCATCATTAGATGACATCCAGAAACTCGAGGCAAAAGATCTCAGGGAGATTTTAAAATATAATTTAAAATCAACAGGCTGAGTTAGAGCCAACTTAGTGTTGAAAGTTTATGCTTTGCTGATGTGACATCCATTGAGTAGTGGAGAAAACCGAGAACTTCTTACAGATGTCCAGGACCTAGAACAAAACCAGAGCAACTTCAGATACGAAGTAACTATGGTAAGGATTTCAGCCCTAGATGGGCAAGCAATCTCCGTAATTTACCCGAGATGAATTTCAGTCAGCTTTACGATTTCCTCGTTGTTTCACGAGAATATCGCCACATTGTGTGGAGAGGAACGCATTACAGGAAGTACCACAGAAGCTGTCCAGTATGGCTTAGAAAGCAAGGCAAAGGCTGCAGCCCTCTAGGTAGAGGAGATTTGTTATTGCGGCTGTTGTTGATGTGGTACTTGTTATTGTACCATATTCTTCAGTTAAAGTTGTTCCCATTTTGTTCACCAAGATGTCTTTCAGTTTGCCATTTGTACATTTTATCTTATGGGAAACTATACAATAGAGCCTGTAGAACCACTTGATCATAACCCTTGTTTCTATCAACCCATGAGGAAAACTGTAACCAACAGATGTCATAATATTTTCATACCCATCTGGCCCAGGACTACATTGAAAACGATTTCAGTTTGTGACTCATGGTAATTTATTAGGTGGCAAGACACCATTGAAAGAATCAGACCAAAATATTAAACAATTTAAAAACTCACAGAAGTGACTGATTCATGTAACTTCTCCAAACACTATCCAGCAAATAGATAATGTTAATACTGAAACTTATCAGGCAAAAGTTATCTTGATCTTACATCAAATTCTCATAACTTATTTACAAGTAAATGTGTAGCAACTAGAAGGGAGAATGGACAATCAGATCTTGGGTATTTAAGGGTTAAAGGAAGAGAACAGAAATGCTTCCTCTCAGCTACTGATCTCAACAATGCTAGTCCTTTACACACATTTAACTTTCGGTTGCTGATAAACATTCAGTGAATTAATATTCCCATTCTTAGCACTCAGAGGCCTTCTGATACAAAGGTTTGCTATGCTAGTTCTTACTGTATTGTGTTAACCAATGTTATGATATAATTTTGAGATGTATAGAAGATACTTAAAAGATTGAGAAATATGTCCAAATCAAGATATTTATTTTATCCTGTTATAGTTACCATAAGATTTGTTTGAAAGAGAATCTTTCAGACCATCGAAATGTATGAGAAATTTTTTTTTGCGAGACTTCTATCAAACTTTTTATCATGGGGACAATTTTGTGAATAATAAAATTTAGTGTCATAGTTCATCTTTGTGTCGAGAACTCTTTTAGTTGGTGAAACTCACTTTTTCTTTTTTTCAGTTTGAAGCATCAAATTGATTGATACATAAAGCACACAAAATATTTTTGAGAGTTCCATGTGACATCCATGGTGGATTACTATGCTATCATAAAAAACAAAAACAACAACTACTGAAAACTGCTTTTTGTCACAATTGCTACCAAATTTGAGTCAGTTTTCTGGGTCTGCCATAATAAGTGAAAACTCTGAAGATACAGTGTCTTGGTTATTTTATTAAAAGCAATTACTTTCCAATAGTTTCTCTGCTAGGACTGTTTTAGGCAAGCCATGTAGTAAACAGGTGAGCAGCACTGAACTTCTTAACTTGCTGCCAGAATAAAAAAAATTCTACTGAACTTAAAACAATTCAGGTAGCTACTAGAAAATCTGTTCTAATTTTGCAACATTAGTTACCCTCATCTATAATTCACAGAGAATAAGATAAGTATAGAACGATAAATACTTAGCAAAAATACATGCCTCCGTGCATAAACTTGAAGAAGTGAAAGCTCGTAGGCAAACCATTGGGGCCATAAAATGTATTTGAACAACCAAAAGCGGCACACTGCTTTCCTTTCTTTTTGGGAGAAAAATTAGCTTTATCGAGATTTCGGCTAGGACCATCCATTTTCCTTAAAAATCGAACAATTTTACTGCTCACATACGAATTTCACCAAAAGCGCTCACATAGATTTATATTTAACGCGACTCAACCCCAGCCTCGTTCTCACGTGTGCGCGGTTGCATTTCCAATATGGCGCTGGGAACTGTAAACATGTCTAAGCATGTCTAAGATACACCCACACGATACAATATCCTATGGCTAAATCAGTAAGACCATACATGTTCGACCACAAATTGTCTATTTTGACGCCAAAATCGTGACATCTATGACGAATCAGGCGTTGATAATACAAAGAAACCCATGGGAGCAAATATTGGTGTTACAAAAGCTCGAGTTGTGTCCGACAGACCGATACGACTGAACTAACACAATGCTTAGGTTTTCTTCAAACTGGTATGGAATCCTTGTCAATATATGTCAAGTCTACATGCCAAATGTTTGCTCCCTCTTTTGAGAGCCACAGTTTACTGCATATTACTTACCAATTTCGTAGAGGGCTTCACTCTCCACATGCAATAATCACTGCGAATTTGGGAACATCAGCTTGCGCGAATATATTTCGATTGATTGCTTTGCCAAGAAACAAAAAATTGAAATTTCCACGATTCTATATGAGACAAGCGAAGAGGTAGTAAATTAGTGTTAACAAGTGAGTTGAAAACGTAAATTGGCCACCGTAAGGGGTAAAAAAGCTGACGTTTCGAACGTTATCCTTCGTCAGAGACGAAGAGGTAGTTTGTCTGCGCATGTTCCGTAACTTTTAGTTTGATGCGAGACACCGCTGGTATACGACTGCGTCGGTTTCCCGCTGAGGAATCGCGAAAATACGTCGGAAAATAACAATGGATCGAGTATTTGAGACAACCTTTCTTGTCATTTTTCCCTCTGAAACTTAGATGGGGGCGACAAAGTCTTAAAATTGTTGTGTGGTGTGTGGAAGGAAGTTACATTTAAAGAGCAAAAGATTGTACAAACGACTTTGAATCTTGTCTTGTGATTGTTTAGGCGATCATGTAGATGATGTTTTTTGTGAAGGCCGCAAGAGGCCTGTTGAAGAGCACGAACGAATTGGATTGTCGTGTCGTTGCTATCCCAAATTATCGTTTTGTTCCCATTCTTCTCACGGCCAGGATAAGCCAACACAAAAATAGCAGGTAATTTAGTGTTAACAACTGGGTTGGAAACGTAAATTAGCCACGGTAAAGAGTAAAAAAGCTGACGTTTCGAGCGTTAGCCCTTCGTCAGATCGCTTAAGACGGGAGGGCTAACGCTCGACACGTCAGCTTTTTTACCCTTTACGGTGGCTAATTTACGCTTCCAACCCAGTTGTTAACACTAAATTACCTGCTATACTCTCCCACCGACGCAGCACCACAGTTTCTTTAGAAACTTACCCCTTTATTCAACACAAACATATACGAGTGTCTCTTTTATGAGGAGCCATTAGTGCCAAAAACATCAATCGCTAGTGATAAAACTCAATCGTTAGTGCTCAAATATCAGTCGTTAGAGATAAAACTCAATCGTTAGTGCTAGTACGATTTGCTTTCGACTTTAACTCCAACCAGTCCCCTGCTTGCTAGCAAAGATAAACCGATCCAATTTTGCTTACTTTCTTGAAATCTGATAAGGGACATTGAAGGCAAAGACGGAACCGGCACGGACTCCCCATGTGACTTTTGTGGTCGCGTCGCATTATCGCCTTTAAACCAGACAATTTTTGCTCTCAGATGATGGGAAGTTTTGTAAAAATTGTTGTCAACAAGGGCTGATTGTGCATCAGACTTTAATGCTCCATCAATATTTGTTTTACATTTTTAACTGCCGGGATTACGTTGTGACAAGAAGCAATAGACGTTCGTGGCCTTTGGGCTTTCATGTATGTGTAAGAATAAACAAAAGGGACCACGAGTGACCACGAATGATCACGAGTGGCCACGAATAACCATGAATAACCGTAAATGACCACGAGTAAAGGCGAGTGGCCACGAATCACCCTGAATGACCACTAGTAAAGGCGAGTGGCCACGAATGGCCATTTATTTTCCCTCCCCGGACCTCAGTCACTTTTACAAATTGTCGCCACACCACAAGCCACGCAAGTTGGTTTCATCATTCTCCTCACTCTGTCCTTGAGAGTAGCAATAGTGACGGCATTCATGCTCGCAAATAGATTATTATTTGGCATATAATAATGCGGACAGTTTTTATTTTCTAAAAATGTCTCCAAACAACGAAGCACATCCAAGAAACGCTCGCCTATCTTATCCTTGCTCCATTTCATGGGATCATTGATCGCATCCCCAACTAGGAACAGAACGGTTTGTAAATGGTACAGTGATAACTCTCGCAGAGTTTGGTCTCGTCTTCTTATTTCAGCCAATGTTAAAAACAAGCAATATTTCGCTGTACCCAAAGTGCAGAATTTCTTCTTTTCAGCTGACAAAAATGACAATTGCCAAAGTGTTTCTGGGTCGCTTAAAGGCAGAGGACACGCTTTACCGACAACAAACGATGGTGGAGCGGATTTGGAAAATCTCCGACACCACTCCAAATTTTCCCGTAATATTACAATCGTGGGTATCAATTCTACGGCTATGAATCCACTTATCTCTTTTATTTGCAGAACTATGGTCGAACCCTCGCAGAAAACTTCCACATTCTGGACATCACTTGGGTACTCATCGCTTCCTTCTTCGATGTTATTTTTGAAAGATTTTAAAGTGTTTTTCATCGTTAAGTGAAGTTTTGACCTAACAAGATTTGCTGATAGGAATCCATCGTTGTCAAGACAATCTTGCCAAGTTTCACAATCATCAAGTTGCAGTCTCACAAAGCCATCTTCTTCGGCGCGATGGATGGAAAAGCTTGCATTTTCATCAAGGTACACAGGGACACCAAATTCAAAGCGATCGCCTTCTATTTCCACCATATCACCATAATTTGCCCCATTACGTAGAATTTCCCCGACGGTAAAGCGATTGTTAACGACTTGTGCATTAATCAACATTTTAAACGCGAGAGAAAAAGCCAATTGCTTGTTTCGTTTGACCTGAGCTCTTGTCTTCCTGACCCGACGGGAATAAAACCTGTTAAGCTCGCTAGTAAGCTTCTCTTCATATTTGTATTCCTTGCAGTTTTGATGCTGCTGAAACGACGGCAGTTTGTTTAACTGAGTACACGAAGCGAACTTTTTATGCAGATTTGCATGCGACATCGCTTTTTTGTGCAAGACTTTCCTGTAAAGGTCAGAATCAGATGGAAATCGTCGTATATGGCTCCTTTGATCTCCATTTCTATTCCCCTTTTTGCTCCTTGTCCTGAACGCGTTCATTTCGCTATAAACGCTAAGAAAAGCTATTTTGAATTAAAATTTGTATAGATTTTCCCCGCGTGTAAACAGCAACTGTACAACACCTTGCACCTGTCGTGACGTGGTCACGTGACTTAACCAGCTTGGGAGACTCAAATGACCACAATAACGGGTATTTTAAGCACTGGCGTCGCGCCTTCAAGCTGTATCATAAAACGCTGGCTCCTCTGGTTATAATATTCTGCTCATTGGAATAACAAGAGATCATCAAAATAATTCCCCTTCGGTTCTCTTCCTGTTATGAACTTTACGCTTATTTTCTTTCTCTGAGCCACAGCTTGAGAAAATGCAGAAAGCACTTTACACAGTCTCTGAAAATGATAAATAAATTAAATAGAGATATTGTTTGCAAAAGCAGACGCATTACCTGCGTTGATTTGAGGGAAATATTGCGATAACTTCAAAATAATTTCCAGAGAGTATTGTAGACAGACGGACAGAAAAAAATACTTGGTAGGTCCCACGATGCATCAAAGTTACACATCAGTGAATTACTTATCGTTGTGCGATTTTCAGAGTTTCTATTTATTCTTCAGTCTTTCATCTCGAAATGACAAATATAGATCTATCTTGGTAAGTCGCACTAATAAAATCTACTCGTATGAATTTTCTCCCACATCATCAGCTTTTAAAAGTGTATCAATAATCAAATTCAACAGACTTCATTTCCCACTATTTTAAAATTGTTTTCGATTTGAGAAAAGAAGAGAACTTGCTTTTTGCCATCCTATGATCGGATTACATCCTTTGAAATTATGGAAGCCGAAATTATTGCCTGAAGTGTTTCTGTTTAGGCTGTCATATGCAACTTTTAACTGATTTAACTAAAAACGCCAGATAAATATTTTAATTTGAGATCATTACATAATAAAATAAAAAAAAAAGAATGATGATTTTTTTTCTATGTTTGTTTACTGTAAATGATCTGTGATGATACGAATTCATTTTTGGAAGGAAAGTCAAACGACAGGAAAGAGAAAGGGTAATTGTTAAAAAGCAAGAGATGATATAAAGTATCCTCTCTTTTCAAAAGCCAAAAATAAATATTTGAACGAAAATGGCATAGAGGTGTCCCAGAGCGAAAGTTTCCTAACTGGGAAAGAAAAGATGGCAAAAAAAAGTGCACCAAGGTTTGGAAGATATACTCAGATCTTAATCATTGAAAAGAGATCATGGTATCTTCCTCTCTCTTTAATAATAACAAATAATATGTCTACTCAGTCGCTGTTAAAAACAGACAACTTCCGGTTACTTTTTTTCCAGTTACAATTCCGGTCAGCGGACTGAATTGCATCATAAGACGATGACACGGTAGATGACGTCACACGTCTCGCTACTTCGATCGCAAATTGCAGTGAGCCAGTGAACTACAAGTCAGTGAATTTTGTGTTGTTATTCAACCAAAATCTAGTATGACAACCCCGGCTAGAAGACGTCTAATGAGAGACTTTAAAAAGTAAGGGACCCTCTCTCGCTATCTTAAGTGTCTTTCTTTTCACACGGGCCAGTTGTTCCCGCAAATTTGGTTGTGAAGATGGTTTCGTGTTGAACGTGTCCTTGTTGACGGTGGGTTCATCTCTTTCGATATTTCCTAGACTTCAAGACGATCCCCCTACTGGAGTTACCGGTGCTCCGACAGAAAACAATATAATGTTATGGAATGCGGTGATTTTCGGGTAAGTGAAGACCAGAATGATTTCGCCAAATCATCAGAGACAGGCTAGTAGCTAACGCTTTACTTTTGTTTCTTACCCAGACCAGACGACACTCCGTTTGAAGGAGGTTTGTTTTCAATCCAACCGTTTTGCTTTCCTCCCATTATTACATCCTGTACACGATAAAATTTCAATTTTGTTTTCACCTCTCGTATTATTCTCGTTTTTTTTCGCTACAGGAACTTTTAGACTAACCATGGAATTCACAGAAGAATACCCAAATAAAGCACCCACTGTTAAATTTATTTCAAAAATGTTTCATCCCAACGGTAAGAGTTGCTTTATAGTCTTAGACCCGCTTCCAGAGATGGTCGTGTAGTCATTAATTCGTTTATATTGAGACTGTAAACAGGTCATATTTTTGGTCGTATTTTTTTTTAATAACAATCTTACGACTTAAATAAATTTCACCAAGTGACGTAACAGACCACACAGACTGGTTTTCCTTTACAAAATGTAAGGTGGCTCTGAACACTTTATTAGATCATTTCTAATACTACCTTTATATCATTGAAACATCAGTATTGTACAAATTTAACTTTTACAATCTGTGATACTATTGTGACATATGAGGTTAGCACAGAAATGGCACTGTAAAGAAGAGTACAGTTGCAGTTTCGTTTTTGCGCTAATGACTCATCTGCGTCATGAGTTTCTAACATTGTGAGACAAATGATAAGACATTCTTATGACGTACCTCATCAGTGACAAACCTCAGCCTATTTTTTAACTCTTAAACAACACTTATCAATCAGTAGATGCTATAGTAAATATGTATGAATGTAGTATTACATCATGTGTGTTGTAAGTTTATGTAATTTGCCAATGCTGGTCTGCGACAATCAATGCTAGTCTGTGGCAACCAATGCTGTACATTGTCAATGTAGCTTCCAGTAATTTACATTTCATAGTGTAGGCTGATCATCTCGATTAGCATAGTGCTTTAAAGGACTACTGACAGTAACAGTGAGCAACAACTGACAAACTGCGCGGAAGTCATTATCTCAGTGGCTGTAATGATGGTTTTCACTCAAAATTTAGTACATGCACTGTGATTGGTTTATTTAGTGGGCCATATTTCACTTGTTGCCCACTAAATGAAAAAGAATTGTTTGAATTCAAATCTTCTCCCTCTCTTTGAACCCAGAGATAAAACAAATATCTTGCTAACCCAGTTTTCTGAGTCCATACTGTAACTTACAAACCAACTTTTTTCTGCTCAGGTTTATGGACTGTGCACTTTGCATTTGGACCATAAATCTGAGCAGATAAAATGAATCAGTCCATAACTTACAATGTGGACCTCAAACTCAGTTGATAAGAGGTGTTTATTACCTTTGACCTTTCAACTCCCAATATTTAACTTGTAATTTTCCCTTTGAGCCTGTAAGAACATAATATCACTACTTGAACTGAGACCACCCAATCCAGACTTCAGACTGCACATATAAGATCGTCAATGTATTTTTAATGACCTTAGAGTCTGAAAGTTATTAACGGTGTGCGTCAATGACATATCTTTCAGTTTATGCGGATGGAGGCATTTGCTTAGATATTCTTCAAAACAGATGGAGTCCCACATATGATGTTGCAGCAATTCTTACTTCAGTACAGGTTTGTGTCCCATAAGTGACATACAGTCCTATTGTAAATGATTTTTAAATAAATAATACACAATCTGGACTATTTTAAGATGGTACCTGAAAGTGAAAAGCTTTACTTAAAGCTGTCCCAGATAAATAAGTCTTAATGCTTTTCTGTTAACTAAACAAAATGGCTGCCATTTTGTTTAACCCTTTAACTCTCAAGATCTCGTTAGTCTTTCTCCTTACTGTCTGCCATAGAATTCTTATGATGTCAATTTGAAGAATTTGGTATTAGATCAATTAATTATCCCTAATTTTTATTTTACTTTATTCTCATCACTTCTATGCTTGATATTGTATTATTGTTGTGAGGAGAAATTCTCCCTCAGTCACTCATGGGAGGTAAAGGGTTAACTGTCATAATCACCATTCATTTATTTCTGCTCAAAATTGGTAAATGGCTGCCATGTAAATTTCTTCAATAGTATCTCAACACTTGTATAATTTTTTCATCAACTTTGGTTCAGTGAGGTGAAATTAGCCAATTAAAGGTGGCAGACCAGAGGCTGGTTTTGGCTAGGTATTGTCTCTTAATGACAGCTCTGAAAGTCAACACTGCCCTTAAGGGTGTTATATACATAATATGTATCTGTGTGCTTTTTATCTTGCAGTCATTATTAGATGAGCCAAATCCAAATAGTCCTGCAAACAGCTTAGCTGCCCAACTCTACCAAGAAAACAAACGAGAGTATGAGAAAAAAGTCATTGCAATTGTAGAGCAAAGCTGGCAGTCAACTTAATTTCATTGTTCTGTTTTCTACTCTGGCCTTTTTGTTTGTGAATTGCTTGTGGTGGTTTTATTTGTTTGTTAGTGTATGTGTGTGTCTTTTTTTTATTAGAACAAAAGTATGTATAGAAAAGGCAGAAAATTTCCAACTCGACTTTGAACAGTTGATGCAGAGTATTGTTTCTGCAAACGGAAGCAACATAATATGGTGTAGGCTATCATAAATGTAAACTTTTTAGTACTTTAACATTAATGAGATTTGTATAATATTTCTCCATAATTATTGTTTTTTGTTTTGTTAGAAATAAGGCCCAGATTGTTTGGATATTCTGTGCCTGTCATGGACTAGATTCATTATGTTAAAAGTGGTGTAAATACACAGAAATAAACTAATATCCTTGCAGTTGCACTGTTGATTATGGCACTACATGCATGCAAGTTGTCTTCCAACAAAAGTAACCCCTTGTCCAAAGTTCTTGACATGACAAGACAAGTAGCATCTTTAATTTAGCTGTGGAGTAAGATTTTTAAACTGGGAAAAGCATTAGCTTTGCCCTTTACATCCAAACATCAGAATGCAAACTTTCCATACTATTCTTTATACATTTCTTGTGGTACTGACAGTGAGAATTTGTTTAAAAATCTAAAAATTTAATTTCTCAATCCTCATGATCATGTTGTTGGATTCTCTGATGATAATGTCAGGAGAAATTGAATGTTAGTCAATCTAAGGCTGGGGATAATAGGTTAATGGGTAGAAAGCTGTATTGTGAATCAGAAGAGCTGGCTTTTGTATGTGACACTACATGCATGCAAGTTGTCTTGTTGCTGGCTTTGGTATGAGGCATTGTAGGCATGCAAGTTGTCTTGTTG